ATTCTTCATTCGCCATTGAGGCATTTTATATATACATATATATACATATTGAATTTTTATTTAGAATTTTTAAATTTTTTTTTGCTATTTTAGCTTAAAAAATTGATTGACATACCTGGCTAGATGCATGAAATTCTAATCACTGTAATCATGGCTCGAACTAATATTTGATTCTTGGAGTTCCGAAAAAGAAAATGCTACATTAAAATTGTTTCTTTCTTCAGAATAATTGGTGCAAGTGATTCATAAAAAGCTTTGTGTTTCCTAGGAAATGAAACAAAAGAAGGAAGGTCTTCTGCGCAGACTCTTCAGCTGGTTCATGATATTAATAACAAGTACGAAAACGGTAAGCAGGTTCATGGTTCTAAGCATGTTTCGTAAGACTGAGCAAAACAATCTAGCTTACAATGGAATTATGAATTCACCTGACCATCCCAATATATTTAAATTATTTCGTTTCGCTTGTCATATACTAGCTTAGGCGTTAGAACAGCGGGCTAGGACCTGAGCCATTTGGCTTTATTCAAGCCAGGGGGAAGATAGTTTATTCTACTGTACAGCGTCCAGACCGGCTCTGGGCACACCTAGCGTCCTATTGAATTGCTACCGCGTTGGACTTCCCCAAAAATAAATGGCCACGGGAGAGAGTCTGGCCACTCACTTCCATCCAAATCGAGGACAAGGAAAGTAGAGTTATTTGTTCACTTACCCTTATCTCTTCGTTCACTTACCCTTATCTCTTCACAGCACTCTGCTAATAAATTACAGACAGCGAAACTTCGCATTTTGCTTATCAGATCCACTTACACCCAAGCAATAATTTGGTCACAAGATCATCAGAGAACCCAGAGGTATTGACAAAAGACGAAATATGGAATCCTGGTGGGTGCCAAGATCTGAAGTACTTGTAGAGGTCTTTTAACAGGTTAGATAATTTAAATCTCTCGGTTAAATAGTCATTTAATGGAAATAATGTGAACAAAAAGTACTAGTTAGTTATTTAGTTATTTTAGAGAGGGTGGGTTTCCCCATGCACCGCGACCAGTTTGATCTATTGTGCTTCCCTCTATGATATTCTACCAGTCTCTTTACCCTACCGATAAATGGTGCGTACCATCAGCCCCGCCGAGCAAGCGAGTTCAGCCACTTGCTTAGCGGTGTCTATAATGCCTCCCCTATCTATCAAATGCTTTGGAGAATATTATTGGGTGGGAAACGTCCTGGGATTTGGCTCAGTGATCCCCTTTGGGGATATGAGGTTCTTTTACGTGGCGTAAAGTTACGACAAGGGACACACAGCTTAAAGTCCCTCCCGGAGGACTTGTTCCCTAAATTTTTCAGCCCTTAAAAATTCGACGAACTGCGCCGGGTATTTGAACCCGTGTACCACGAGTCATGAGGTGGGAACGTTACCTCTAGACTACGGAGCCCGCTACAATAAGTACTAACATCTTAATAAATAAATAATAAATAGCAAATAAAATAAATAACTTCATGCCCTTGAGCTCTTCTTGAGAAGCCGCCAGTTGCTCAGCTTCTCAAGCAATTTCCCCAAACTTTATCAAAACCGAAAATTAAAAAGTATACAAAAGGGTCCTCCACTGGTCCGTAACCTGAACCAGATTGATCCAGCCCAAACCTCATCTTATTGTTCCAATGTCCATTTTAACCTGTTTATCCACGTACGTTTTCGTCTTCCTACAAGTTTCCCATAAGAATTGTTCGTCTCTTTATTCGTGTTCTATGCCTTGCCTATCTAAAATCAGACATACTTATCTGTGTAAAGCGCTAACACGAGAATGAATTTAAGTATTTAGGAAACAGTGCTAATATATCTCAGCAGCCACCCATGCCATTGCATCATACATATGCTTTGAGCAGATGCCTCTTGAGTATATGTGCTCGAAATATTTTACCCATCTATCCGCTATATCTCTTAGGAAGACTTCGTTGCAAAGATAAAGAGAAAACATGTTTTTGCTCTATGCCAATGAGGAACACGCCTTGCCTTACATGCAAGTTTACTGTATAAAAGCATCTGATAACTGATTTACGTTATGATATTTGTGCCAGGTTGACGCATCAAATGATGGGGTACCGCCAAGAAATGAGCAAGACGGTTCTTCTACTCAAGTGACTCAGTGTGACGCGGAAGGTAAGTAATATGCTAAGATATGCTGAATTGCTGGCATTCCTTATCTTTCCTTTCTTATGAAAGGAATAAATACATATATTACAAGGAAACGAAGTCCTTGACTTCTTTCACAAGATGATTAATCTTTGATATATTAGGAAGTTCAGGTAAATAACCGCAGGAACATGTAACCTAGCCGCTGCATGGAATAGGTGGTCTTTTCTGCCTACAATACCCTTGCATTTAGAAGGGTCTGCACTGAGACCGCATTGCTAGCTCAGAAGTTTCCTTTTGCTTCAGTGTTGTAAGAAAATTTGACTAATAAGGGTGAACGGCTAATATAGAGACCTCGAAACATGCTTCATAACCTGGCGCTTTCTCTAAGCTTTCAGCATCTTATACACCGCACCAATCGCCTCGAACCCGTCGCTTCTGCTGAAAATCCTAATGCATTATAATTCTCCTATTTGTTCGGTTCCCCAGGGATTCGTTCGCTCTTGAGTACACACAAACATTAGTTAGTACTATTCTAGTCATATTGGAATAGATCAGTGCACAAAGAAGATTTTCACGTTGGTGTAATGATGCAGTTCTTTCCGGAAAGGAGTTTTATTATAGACAATTATTTATATGGAACGCGAAGCGAGAAGTTTGTTATTTATGTATTCGTAATAGTTTCCCTGCTTATTACTTCCTACTTTAGGTAATCATTTCAGTTTCACTTGCAAAATGGAATATTTTGCGACACTCCTCAGTAGAGAATATTCTCCCTCCTCCTTTTTCTTAATTTCACTTTCTTCCAAAACTTCTCAGCAACATTCTATTTCTTATTTGTTCAGTCACTGATCTGATTTTAATGGAAAAGTGCAATTTTCAAAACTACAGAAACCACAAGAGAGATTTAATTTCCATATATTTTAATTTAGAAAATACTGACAGTGGCCCAGAAGACAAAATCTTTCGGAATATATTTTGGAATAAATAGCGGAATTCAATCTCATATTGGTTCTGTCATGAATCTCATTTTAACACGCTACTGTTTTTCCCAAATATTTGCAGACTGCCACACTTTCAGTGGACGAACGCTATAATTGTTCCTCGCACTTTGGCGATGAGGCATTTACTTTTACTTACATTTCTCTGTGTTTATTTGTTTCCAGCTTCACCAGTAGCGTATTTGGAGATCTTTGTTCTTTTATAGTATTACTGTTGTCTCCAAATATTCTAAATTGTCAGCATAGTCGTCTAGCTGATATTTCCTGTTTAATTTTAGTGGATTATGGTTTTCGTGGACGTTCATAACGGTACACAGTAAAGAAATTTGTAAAGGAAATGTGATGCCATGACCACTACTTCATTTTGGAGGTGCAGTTTGAAAGCATTCTCGCATGTGCAGGGCTTAGCGAATGATTTGTCCCTCAGAATAGGGAGAGGTGAAATATAAAGACTGAAAGACGCTCTGCTCTGTTCCAGAAACCCCGGAATGTGTTCCCTCCATGAGAATTACATCGCCAACTTGTAGCATGAGTGAGTCGCCGAAGCAAGTGTCGGCGAGCGTCGAGAGCGTGGAGAAGCTCATCCATGATCTGGACCATTTCAGCAAAGAGTTGATGGTCAGCATATCGACGGTTCAATCGAAAATCAGCGGTTCTGACAAGAAGGTGGTGGCGCTGGTGCAGGTTTTCCCCGAGTACTTCGGTTTTCCCTGCCAATCTTCATTCCACCAATTGCTCCACAATCACCCTCGCCTATCATCTGGGGCTGGTACAACAGGCCAGAAGTGGCCGCAGTACAAGGAACTTAGTCCCACCCCACTAGCAAAAAAAAAAGTACCTTTGCCATCACAGACTCCTTAGGGTTACAACAGTACCAATAGTCTCCACCATCTTCTCAGAGGGATAAGTGAGTGACTGTTCCGTATCACTGTACTCCTCGAAATATACGATGGCAGTGGCTGAGAGCGGCACATGACAGCTGACACCATGAAGCACATGTCTGACAGTGGAACCACTGACATAGGCTGCTGTGTGGGAAGACTTCCCTATCACCAGCATGTACTGCAGCACCTGTGACCTGCAACATGGAAAGTCTCAGGAACAGCATCAGTGGGTTCCTCGCCACAACTTGTGGAGGGATATGGTGAAGCAGCATCAGGTGCCCTCACAGTTAGCTCCACACAAACCTCTAAAAGCAAAGCCACTGATGATGCTAGTCTTTGGGGCAGCTACAGACTCTCCGACAATTGGGTTATTGTTCGAACCACAGTACAAATGTAAAGGGATCCTGAGTCAGATTTGGGGTTTGAAGGTGCTTAAAATCCGCCTCTTTCACTGTCCTATACACATACTTGGCAGCAGTAATGACAACTACCCACACATTCTGTGAAGGTGGACAATGAAGAAAGGCGGGTTTATCCAATAATCCATATGTGGACTGCTTTTATGGGTGAGTGGGCAACTCAGTGTCTTCCCTGGGTTAACACGCATTCCACCATTGAAACTATCAAAGAGGTTTGTCAGCCTCCCAACAATCGCAGCTGTTGCCAGGTATAGACTACAGCACACTCCTGAAAGGACATTAAAAAATGAATGAGCTACCATAACATTGTCCTTATTGATGTTTGTAGTTCAACATAAAGACCTTTTTATAACAAGCATTAAAAGTCACAACCTAGAAACTAGGCAAAGTAATAATCTATATATTCCACAGGCAAACTTATCCATTTATCAAAAAGGAGCCTATTATTCGAGGATAAAAATCTTTAACCAATTACCCTCTCATATTATGAATGTTAATGGTAACATAGCTAAATTCAAAATTGCTTTAAAAAAATTTTATAGACGAATTCATTCTACTCATTAGAAGAGTACTTTGATCAATAATGAGAGTAGTTACAATAAACATATATAAATTTTATGGCTCACTTGTGTATTATATTTGTAATTTATGATTTTTTGTTCATTGTAAACTCATTTTATAATGCCTGTTTTGTTTTAATTATAAGTTCTACCTGTGCGTTGCCAATTAATCTTATTTTCAGTAATCTGAAGGATTTATTTATTATTTGTAACTCATAATTATTTGTTTATTGTGGATTTCTCATTTAATATGACTGTTCTTAAATAGCATGTTTCTGACTTTTTATTTATGTAATCTAAGGTCTTAACTATTTATATTTTTATATGTTATAATGTTCCATGTAAACAACTTTGGTAATTGGTCTGTATGTACTGAGTGAGGACAAGTTCTGTATCCATCTTGTGGATGCCTGGAATACTGAATAAATACTAATACTAATACCACAACACACATTTCAAAGGACTGCTGTTAGAGAAAATTTGTACTTTTGATTACTTTATTCCTCATATTTAAATCTTCTTTGCCATTTTCTCTCACAAATGGATTTATTTATAGAGTGCTCTACTTTTCAATCATTTTAATTACCCTAAAAACATTAATATTTGTGACATTCTATGTAAGTTGTGTATTGATGTACAGTTTAATAAGTAATAAATAATGATGACAATGACATTAATTTTATCACGGCTGGGTTTTGGGGACAATAACTTTGAGAACTAGCTCTCATTATTCTCATTAGCCACTTCCTTCATGACAGAACCTAATTCACACTATACAGTACAGTGGTCCTTAACCTGTCTAGAGCTTTGAGGCTTGCTGCAACAGTGTGACTCATTACCTGTGCATCCAAGTTCTCTTTCATAGCGCCCTGTGTATCCCAAGGTGTCAGTGGCCGCATTCACCCCTACCGGACACCTGTGCATATTTCTTATTCCATCCAGTTAAACTAATAGTTGCTAAAACCGAACAACTCAACATCTCAAATCAACACATTGATTCTACCAATTAATGAACCAGATTTATACTCTAACAATCAGTAAACCACACACAGGCAAGTTACACACGCGACCTGAAAAGTCGCAGAATATGCTGTAGGTTGTGACGCCATATCGACTCTTCTGGCAAACTATCCGCCCCAAACGACTTCTCGAGACCAACTGCTCAAATCGGAGTTCCAAATATTATCATATATTCTCGTGACGCGCAAAAATGCTGATCGCTCAGAAAACCTAAGAGTCGACAATTCCTTCCCAGCCATCTACCTCCCGTCTTAGAGAACTGCCCAGGTGTCGTTCAATCGTTTCGTAAACATTTTCTATAAGATAACACTACGTTTGATCGCATGACTGAGGAATGCAAAACATCAGGGTCTGAGTTCAACTCTCGCTTCCGGACAGCCATCCGATCACTCAGTCTTACGAAAACCTATATCAACTTCTAACATCTTTTCATGTCCGTACCAGAGCCATCTAAGAGTAGAAAAATTTGTTTCAAAACCTAGAAATAATTCGTCAGTAAACATTACAAATATTTTGCACATGCTAAATTTTGAGGTGGAACCCCCTCTTCCTCCTGTTAAAATTACAACCGAGCTTTCTTCTGAACTTATACAATTGGATCACTGATGTAAATTAGGGAGTTAAATCTAGAGAAAAGTCCCATGAGCATCGCATAAGAAGACTCACAAGTTGAAGTTCACATGAAATTAGTGTGAGAAACAATCCTTACCTCAAACTGACTCTTCGGTGCTGCTGCATCAGTCAGTTACCTTCTCCATCACCATTGGTTTCAAAATATTATCATGAAAATCCGGGTTTGCGCGTACAGACACGTCCTAATGTGAACATCCGCGCTCCTGTAATATAATGTAAATTCATATTACTGGCAGAACTACAGTGAAATGTGGATGCAGCAAACCTGAGTTTTATTGTCATCTAACTAAATAACAATGAAGCTATTTAAAATATAGCGATAAAAAGGAGAACCACTTTGATAGAAGTTGCATATTTCTAAAGATCTGAATTCATACCAAAATTCAGGTTCATATACCATGTGGAATTAGGGCTGCTACCACCACAATTTTCAGTGTGTTGGTGGCATTACAGGTTGTAATACCGGTAGTATAATATAATGTAAATTACAATATGGTCATGAGACGCCTCAAAGACGTGTCATTGTTACGAAATGGCTCAGTATTGAAACTCGTAACAGCTGGAATCAGGTACCGTGTGATAAGCTATTAGTGTCCAAGTGCATTATTTGGCAGTCTGCATCAGAATAAATAGCAACTTTTGTTTAGAACAATCAACCTGCTTACCGTTTTGGTATGCGTCCGTTTAAATTTGATCCAGCGCAACAGTCTGCGCAGAAGACCTTTCTTCTTTTGTTCCTTTGCCTAGAAAAAAAAAGGGTTCTTATGAATCTCTTGCACCAAACATTCTTAAGGTAACCATTTTAATGTAGAACTTTCTTTTTTGGAACTCCAAGAATCAAATACTAATTCAAGTCATAAGCACTGTGGTTAGAAATTTTTGCATTTCCTGATATATGAATCAATCTTTTCAAGCTACAATAGAAAATAACGTTTCTTTGAAAAACTCTAAATTAGAATTAAGAAAATATATATATAAAATGCCGCAATGGAGAATGAAAATTTTTCTTCCAAATATATTCTGTGAAAAAAACGGTCAATTTCATTTGATGTAAATACTGAAACAAATATGTTGCAGTTTTCAAATCAGACTTTAAAGCATCATGGTTTTCAAAGAAATCGCATACTCATTCTGTCACTGTCACATGCAACGCCAAACGCCTACCTTCTTGTCAGAACCGCTGATTTTCGATTAAATCGACGAAATGCTGAACATCGACTCTTGGCTGGCATAGTCCGGATCTTGGATACGCTTCTCCACGCTCTCGACACTCGCAGACACTTCCTTTGTGGTGATGTAATTCTCATGGAGGGAACATTTTCCGGAGTTTCTGGAACAGAGCAGAGCGTCTTTCAGTCTTTATATTTCACCTCTCCCTATTAAGAGGGACAAATCATTCGCTAAGCCCTGCACATGCGAGAATGCTTTTAAACTGCACCTCCAAAATGAAGTAGTGGTCATGGCATCACATTCCCTTTACAAATTTCTTTACCGTGTACCGTTATGAATGTCCACGAAAATCATAATCCACTTAAATTAAACAGGAAATATCAGCTAGACGACTATGCTGACAAATTAGAATATTTGGAGACAACAGTAATACTATAAAAGAACAGAGATCTCCAATTGACGCTACTGGTGAAGCTGGAAACAAATAAACACAGAGAAATGTAAGTAAAAGTAAATGCCTCATCGCCAAAGTGCGAGGAACAATTATAGCGTTTGTCCACTGTAAGTGTGGCAGTCTGCAAATATTTGGGAAAAAAAGTAGCGTGTTAAAATGAGATTCATGACAGAACCAATATGAGATTGAATTCCGCTATTTATTCCAAAATATATTCCGAAAGATTTTTTCTTCTGGGCCACTGTCAGTATTTTCTAAATTAAAATATATGGAAATTTAATCCCTCTTGTGGATTTTGTAGTTTTGAAAATTGCACTTTTCCATTAAAAATAGATCAGTGACTGAACAAATAAGAAATAGAATGCTGCTGAGAAGTTTTGGACGAAAGTGAAATTAAGAAAAAGGAGGATGAAGAATATTCTCTACTGAGGAGTGTCGCAAAATATTCCATTTTGCTAGTGCAACTGAAATGATTACCTAAAGTAGGAAGTAATGAGCAGGGAAACTATTACGAATACATAAATAACCAACTTCTCGTTTCGCGTTCCATATAAATCATTGTCTATAATAAAACTTCTTTCCGGAAAGCACTGCATCATTACACCAACGTGAAAATTTTCTTTGTGCACTGATCTGTTTGTGTGTACTCAAGAGCCAACGAA